GGGGGGGGGGGGGCCAGGGGCTGCCAGGGTTGAACGAAAGCGCATTTTATGAGTTTCACGAGTTGCGCGCAGGTGGTGGTGGTGGTGGGGGCGTTAGGGGGGCTCGCGGCCCCCACCTTGCCGACGGCCGTGCGCGGGATGACGCTGAACCGCGTGGGGCCGAAGCGGTAGAGGTTGCGCTCGTCGCCGCCAAAGCCCGCGCCTGGGGGGGGGGGCGTGTTTGAGCGGCAGGTTCGGTGCTGGGAACAAGGGTGGGTCCGGGGTTGACCCCGGCGCCCGGCGCGCGCCCAGGAGCAGAGGTCGTTTCTCGACCGCGGGCGCGGGCGGGAGCCGGCCCCGGAGCCGGAAGCTCGGCGGTCGAGACAGCAGACCCCGGTCGGGGCCGTCCGTGTATTCGCAGGCGCGAGAAACGACCTGCCGCGGCGCACGGCGCGCGCCCCCCGCCCTCACCTGCGCGTACGTCGACCACGCTGAGGCTGGGCTGGCACCAGCGCGCCACCAGCAGGTCGTGCTTGTTGGGGGGCGCGGTCAGGCGCGGCACGCCGATAGCACGCCTGCGTGTGTGTTTGTGGTGTATGGTGTGTGTTTGTGTGTGTGTGTGTGTGTGTGTGTGTGTGTGTGTTTGTGCGTGCCCGCGCATGTGCGTGTGCCCGCGCATGTGTGTATGTGTGTGTGTTAATGGGGTAGAAAACATGAAACAGCTGTTTGCGACACCAGACCAGCTCCAAACCCTACGGCCCGCTCCGACTCATACCAGATGGACGCCTGGCGCAGCAACGATTCCTGGCCCCCTTGGGCGCGACACGCGCGTCCCTGCGCACGTCACGACACGACACGAGCACGCCCAACCCCCAGCCGCCCCTTAAACCAACAGGCGGCGACCCCCGCTCACTGGTAAGAGTCGAGCTTGAACTCGTCGCACTCCTCCAGGCCCCGCCACGCAAGGTCGATCAGCCGCGGCCGCACTCCGTCGTAGAAACCCGGGATTGCGATCGCCGTCCCCATCCCGCCGCCGCCGTCCTCGTCCTCGCAGCCGCAGCCGGCGTCCGCGTCCGCGTCCGCGCCGCGGGCGGCGGCCGTGGCGGACTTGAGGGTAGTGCCGCCGGCGCCCGGCGACGGCGACACGCGGCCGCTGCTGATGCTGACCGCGCTGCCGCCGCTGTCGCTGCTCGCGTCGCTGCCCGGGCTCCCCGCCCGCCGCTCCCGCGGCGCGGCACCGTTGGCACGGCCGCGGAGGCCGTCGCCCGCGCTCGGATTTGCCGCTGCGCCGGCCGGCGCCGCGCCGTCGGCGCGGCGTGCGGCGTCTGCGGGGGCGTCTGTTAGGGATGAGAGCAGCTTGAAGAGGTCGGCCATGGGTTCGCTGAACACACCGCCGTCGTTGCCGCTGTGGACGTCGCGGGCGGGGCCGGACACCTGGGGCGGCGGGCGACGGGGTCCCAGAGGATGTGGGTCGCTTGTGTGCGAAATGTGTATGTATATGCATATGTGAATGTGTGCGTGTGGTGCGTGTTTGTGAATGTGTGTGTGTGTGTGTGTGTGTGTGTGTGTGTGGGTGTGTGTGTGTGCGCGCGCGCGCGTGTATGCAAAGTGAAGGTAGGGGCGTTGGCGTGAGGCCGTGAGGAAGCCCGGAAGCCTCCTGAACCCTCAAAACCCCTCAAGGAAGCCCTGAGCGACACACAGCTCTTCCAAGGCCCGGTTTGCAAAGCTCGACCCAGGGAGAGGCGGGGCGACGCGCGCAGCTCTCCCAGCTCTCACGGAGAGGGGGCCATCGTCTCACGCACCAGCCTCCAAAACTCTGGGCGGCGTGCCCACCTCAGAGCTCTGCAAAGTCAAAACTTCCAACACCCCTACATAAAACCCGCAGGGTCCGGCAGACACCCAGCTGTGCGCCTGTCCCCGGAGTTGGACCCCTGAATCCCACTGCGGCGCGGCCCCCACCTCAATGCTGGCGGTCACCATGCCGCGCATGCCGTAGGTGAGGCAGGGCAGGCGCTCCCCCACCCAGACTGTGTTGCTGATGACCACCACGTCAGCATCCTCAAACCAACCCAGGTTGGCCTGGGTGGGGGGGTGGGGGCAGTGACGGGTGCCGTGGGGGTGGGGGTTGAAGGGAGGGTAGTGGTGGTGATTGTGGTGCGTTTGTGTGTTGTTGTTGGGGTGTGTGTGTGAATGTGTGTGTGTGTGTGTGTGCGTGTGTGTGCGTGTGTGTTGTGGTGGTGATGTATTGGTGGCGGTGTTTTAATGTTGGTGTGTTGACGGTGGCGCAGCTGCAGGCCGACGCATCCCCCCAGGCAGGGCCCAGCTCTGCCC